GAAAAAAAAATTATTAAAAAATTATTAAAAATATAAATATAAAAAATTGATATAAAATAGAAGAATTTTACCTGCCAAGTGCCAAAACCAATTATTGGCATTAACTCTCCATTTGGAAGCAAAATAGTATTTTTCTCCATAACGTTTATACGAAATAAACTTCGCCAGACAACTGAATGATTGTATCCATTTCCTACTTTATAAAAATGTATTTCACTTTCACTTCAAGTATGTAATCCTTGAAATAAATGTGTATTTTATTACTATTCACTTTAAATATTTTCTCTTAATAAGTGCTATAATTAAGATAAAACAAATAAATGCATTTTTACATTATATATAATTTATATATTTATATATTTATTTTTATATTATATATATTATTATATATATATAAGTTATATATTCATATATATATATATATATATATTACTATTGATATTACTATTATACAAACAATATTCAGAATATTAATATGCAACCTATCGAACTAAATTATATATTCGAACTAAATTATAATATATAATATATAAATTATATATTAACATATTCTTTTATATCATATTTCTTTATAAAGAAAATATAAAGAAAACAAAAATGAAACGATCTATCTAATTTATTGACAAAATAATATTTATAATATAATAATATAATTTTCATTTCTTCATATAATTATTCGAATATAAATTCATGAAATTTTCAAAAATTTGTAAATTTGTAAAATAAAAATAAACATTTATATATATATTTATTTAGTTTGGTATAGAAAATTATATTATTTTTTAGGTTATATGTATTTAATTGCAGATAATTTTATTAAAGAAAAAACAAAATATGAAAGAAAGATAATTGATTTAATAATGTATCGATGTGTAAATTGTGGTACTGAAATAGAAGAACTTTATAGAAAATATTCTCCAAATGTTTTAAAACTTTTAAAATGTGTATGTTATACAAATTTATTTCTTTTTTACAATTTTAAATTATATTTTAATTATATTTTATTTTTTAATTATATTTTAACCTTTTTCATTCGAAGAAAAAAATGTTATAAATCAATGAAGTATTGTCTTTAATTATTTATAAAATTCGAATACATATCAAAATGAATAGAATGCTTTATTCTTATCTGTAAAAATTACTATATTTCAAGGTTTCATTGATATATATTTATAATTTTTTATAAGTTCCAATCTCTTTTTTTATCATTTCATTTAATGTTTTTTTCAACTTCTATATATAAATAATATGTCTTTGATTTTGTGATAATGTGCAGTGTTGATAAATACATTAATATTTAATTAATAATTAAATTAATAATTATTATTAATATAATAATATAATAATATTAATAATAATTACTATTATACTAATGTTTAAATTATTAACTGTATGACAATTTTTATTGCTGTCTTTATCCTTTGATTATTTTGTATCAATAAAAATATTTATCTTGATTACTAATTTCTCATAATTATTTTATTTGTTGCTTAAATAATATCATAATGTTTTATGATTTATCAAGAATTTGCATAGATTTTCTTATATCATAAATTTTCCTGTATTATAAATTATTTTTTTATATATTAATAACAAATATTTTATTAGTAAAATTTATGACCATTGTATTTTATTTTATCTATATTCCCGAAATTTTATAAATTTTATATTATAAAATAATTTTTACACAGAAAAATATTTTCTTCTTTTAATTAGTAATTGATTTTTATTTATTTTAGGAAACATGTGGCTTCTTGGCTGATAAATATATTGAATACGATTCAGTGATAATTTTAGTTGATTTAATATTACTTAAAAGACAAGCATACAGACATTTGCTTTATAATTGCGAAATAAAACATTGTTGGAAACTAGCAATAATTCTGTGCCTTATTGAATCTTTTCGAAATTTCTTTTTATGTAACAATAATAATGAATATGTTCAATATTGGAAAACATTTCAACCTAATTTTAATCGAAATTGTAATCTTTATTTAATAATATTCAGTACCGTTTTTGCGCTCATTAGTTTTGTCTTTACTGTTATTTTTTTAACCAAATTTAAATGGTATTTTTATCCAAACAATCCAAATACATGTAGTGTGATACATCTTATGAAAGCTTTAATAATTGGTGGTTCTGGAATACTGTTGGGGCTATTAGAAATTACTTGGGGACATATTTTCCTGACACCTCATTATTTACTTATATTGGGATATATTATTCTTTGTTTACTCACAGCTTATTCAGGTAAGAAATTTCATTTTCATATATCTATGATTTATGTTAATGTATTTAAGCAGATTACATATTAATGTATTTACATTATATTAATGTATATTGTATTATTTCAGTGGTTACTAATAATGAAAAACTGGAATCCTTAATCATCTTGGGAATAGGCATGATAGTGTATAAGTGTATATCTAACTATTCTTTTACAATTTTTAAAGTTTTAGAATTAGTTTAATTATTTATTTTCAATTTTCATTTGATTTTATAATCTTACTTTAACATTACATTAAACTAAATTAAATAAATATATTTATAATGTACATATTATAACATATATATTAACATTCTTTAAGAGGTATGATACTCCATCCCAGAACTAATCTATCGAAACCACAAGAGAACAAATTACAGACACCACTATCAGCCCAAGCTACCGATGAGACCATTCTTCTATGTCCCTAAAATCAATTTTATAGGATATATATATATATATAT